ACAGCCAGCCTGATACCCCCATAGAAAACCTTTCCAGGGTTCGGGGCTGCAGTGATCACAGGAGTTGGCCTATGTGAAACCGTAACGTGGAGCAAGAAGACATCTGGTGCCCCTCAGAGAGTACTGAGGACAGGCAGAATGTCTTTAGCTTAGAATATTTGTCCAGTGACAGAACTCTCCGTACTTCGCCTCCAGCCTTCCACCCAGACTGAAGCTCAGCTGCAGCTGTCTGCCCTGGTCTACGCTAGGACCTTAGTCCGAAATAACCACCCCCCAAGTTCGAATTAGTCAGCGGTGCGTCCACACTACAGAATTCGAACTTGGCACTCCTGTTTTTCATAAGGAATGATGCTAATTCCCAACTTGTACGTTCAAAATGATGTTGGTCTGGTGTTGCTAATTCAAACTGATGGGCCTCCGGGAGTCCTCCTGCAGCTCCCTAGAGTACTTCCTGTGGCTCTGAGTCCGAGGTAGCACGTCCAATTGACGGAACCCTCCCCAGATCGCAGTTGATGCTTCCCCCCACAGTGAGGACACACAAGTTCAAATGTATTAAATCAGGAGTTCTTAAGTCGAATTTAGTAATTTTGAAATAACGTCCTAGTGCAGACATGGCCTTCATGCGATATGCGGCAGAGAACAGAGCTGTCAAATTTCCAGAAAAATGTTTGTTTCTGCTTCTCTTCCTCTGGGAGAAAAGAATAACAGAATTTTGGGGAAAAACGTGAAATATCTGCAGTAGTTACATGCTTATTAAAGCGAAACTTTGCTCCTCTAAGAACGAGAAATGTCGTGTGTGTGACTGAGTTACCACGTAAAAGTACTGTTGGTATATTTATGAACTAACTAGAAAACCTATAGTTTTGGTTCAATAAATAATGACAAATATTCCTAGTATTAAGGCGAGACTTGCAACTCCACACCAAGGTACATAAGTGTTTTTTTTCTGCCTGTTGGCAAATAGGAAAAATATTGAAAATAGAAAACATTAATTCCATTGTAAGCATAAGGGGAAGTTATACCCTGTGGGCTCAGAAATCGGATCGGATCATACAGACATTGGAGAAACCCATGTTTCTAGAGAAAAAGCTTGGACAATGAATGTCTTTATAATGTAGAGTATTCAGGACCAACAGTAAAGTCGGGTAGCTATCAAACTTGCTGCTGATAGAGTTACTATACCCTTTAACGGTGCATTATCATCATATATACAGTAAGGGCTGTAATTGTAGACAGACCTAATCATCCTATGAACCAATAAAACTTTAGCAGTTACAAACGTATTCTTGAAAATATTAGCACAGCTAAAGTTCTTCCTTCTTTCCGCCTTCTTTTGCTATTTATTCTGAGAGAAAGTATTTCATAAAGCAGTTTCTTTCTAATGCTTCCCCAAATTGTTAATTTTGCCATACTCGGTCGCAGGAAAAAAATATAGAAAAAAAATAAACCCGTGTTCTTTTCCAAAAGTTTCTCGGTTTTTTCCTCCCCAGATCTTTACAGCTCTGCACGGTCCCAACGATAGATGTGAGCTAGTGAGATACCAAATCAAAGATGCGAGATTCTGAGCCGCTGAAATTTCTTAAGGTGCTAAATCTTGGGCACTCATATGCTAGGCTCTGGAGTAACTCAGCTTACTCTGGTTAGAAGCCAGGCAGGTTCCTTCAGCCGACTGATCAGAGCTTTGGTTTTGGACCAGCAGGCCATGAAATCTATTCCCTAGCCATGACTGCTCTTTGTTGACAGCTGTGATGTCTGTAAGAATGTGGTGCTGGAGCATGAGAACTCACACGGAATGAACTAAGTACAACCGTCACTACGGGCTCACTCTTCCCCCCACACCCGAGAGAGGCCGGACGGCCCACTCGTCCGTTTTAGGTAAACGCTGACATGCTTCTAGAATTGTCACTAGACAGAGCAAATTAGTAAAGAGACTAACAGATGAACAACACATCAAATGAAACACTGGAAAACATTCAGGGAAAGGTGCCTCGGTGAGGCGAGGGAAGAGATTCAGTAGGGAAGGATGGATGGACACAGAGGCCCGCAAAACAAATGGACCTACCTCTGAAGCCATGAAACCTAAGTCAGTAATTTAATAGCCAAATCCTTAGGTCCACACGATGGAAAAAAAAAAAAGTTCTCCATAGCAATCTTCTGCAGATCACTGAGATGATGGAGGACTAACCAGTCTATTTTCCAGAGTGTCTTTCTCAGTCTTCTTTTCCTGTTGCCTCTTCAATCAATAATCCCATAACAAACACTGTAAATCTCAGAATAATCCCCTATGAAACCAGCACAATACCCAACCGGAGCGTTCCTTGGCTTCTTCCTCCAGGTTTGCAAACCACCGAGTTGGGTTCGCTTTATTTTTCTCTTATTTCTCACTAACCATTCCAGGTGCAATTGATCCAGACAGAAGGCAAAGCCAAACACTTGTCCCTCTTTCCCCCACACCACCAGTTCCGCTGGAGGTTACGAATTTACCATCCGTCGCACTTGGGGTTGGTTTGTTTTCTCTGTAACGGAGAAGCAGTGAATCCACAGTAAGTTGACAAAGTACACATAGAAACGCGCATGCGCGCACACGGGAACGCTTTTTTCCATTATGTTTTTTTTTTCCTTTTTGCAAAAAAATGCAAGCAAAAGAAAAACAAGATTTTCTATTGAAGGTACATCTCTTCTTCAATATGAAGACATTAACTGGATTGATTTGGATCCCCCATGCAGTGGTCAGTGAAGTCTTTTGGTAGCTGACGGAACAATATCACAGTAGGTAGCTGTGGAGACCTTTGAAGACATTTCCACATATAGACCATGAGTAGAAAGGGAACGGGGTGTGGGAAAGAGGGTCAGGGAGGGGAGCCAAAGAAGAAAAGAAAAGGACTGTCGTTGCTGAAGATGGTTTCTCTGGGTTTGAAAACTCAATTCTTGCACTTCTCCCCTCCCCATTGGCCCCTTGTTTCTTCATCAGTTTTGACTACTGCTCACTGGTGGTAGGATTGGAGTCTATTATTTTCCCAACACACATTGGTTTGTCTTCATTGTCTTTTAAATATATGATTTGTACATATTTATATGTATTTAATACGCGGTTTCCCCTGGCATCGGTAAGTGTGCTTCTGTTAGCGAGAAACGGAAGCTGCCGGTTAGAAACGAGTCCCGTGTGTTCTTTGTCTGCAGCTGCTACAGTTCTCAGACGATCATTCAACCTTTCCACATGTTTCACTGCTTTGTCAGTCTGTTCCTTCCCTCCCACCTCTGACCCTTCCTTGCTTCCCCTCCCTTTCCCAACCCCGCAAAACGAGAGACGTCATGCCATCGAGGTCGGAGACTGACTCATCTGTACTCTCATAGACTGGACGCTGTTCAGAATCTTCTTCTGGTGTCCAGCCAAAGTCACCCCTATTCTCAGAAGGTCTCTGTAAAACAACCACAGGTAGTTCAGGTTACGTGTCTGAATTTGACACTTGTAATATGTTTCGGGATATTTCTCCTAGAGATACTTCATTTTGTTCTTTACTGTCAGTGGTGAGCTAGAAGAGACAAGCAAAACAAAAGGTTTTCCGTCTCTAAATCTAAAACACTGGACCTGAATTTGCAGGCTCATAAGCAATCTCCTATTGGACAAACCCAAAACCAACCTGCATACTTGTCCCAAACTCAACCCAAATCTATTCTGAACGTCAAAATAGTTGGTTCGTTTGAGGTTTTTCCCCCCAATTTCCTGTTTCTTTTCCTGGAAAAGAAAAGCGTAAACTACCACGAGAAAGGCAATTCTCATTTTACTTCGGACCCCATCTCAACCAAGACACACCGACAATCTCAAGGGAAAGTCAGTTTTGAAAAGCCAGATCTTCCTCCCACTGAAGTCAATGGCTGGGCGGCCAACGACTTCCAATGGGAACTGGGTCAGAGTTCAGGGGTGACCACGGTATGTGCTGCTTACTCTGAGGTCATCTGGGCAACAAGCTGCAGGGAGGTGAAGCCAGCAGTCAGGAAGCTGTCTCTGTACTGGTTCATTTTAATGGCGCTTAACCAATCTTCTACTGAGGTAAAGGCAGTGAAGTCTGGGATGGAGCGGTCTAAAAGTGGCTGAGAAGGCCTGAAATACAACAGAAAGGAGCCTAGGTCAAGCTGGACTGGAAACACAAGGCCAATGGATGTGGCCGGTCAAAAGCCATGGGCAAACCAGCTGGCAAATATATTCGATCATGAGCTGTTGTGGGCAAAATCTACGTCATCAGTTGAGTTGGAATGGAAATTACAGAAGCCAGGGCTTATATAACAGTAAAAGCGGTTCCCCGTGAATTGTAGGACCAGTGTTAACGAAGCTAATTAAGTCGAGCTGGATGTGTCCCATTCATAACATTTAACATGGAAATGCGAATATCCAAGGTGGGGAAAATTGCCTTTCTAGTGCATTAACCAGTTAACAGTTTTATTCCAGCCCAAGTGGATAGTGTCACAAGTTTGGATAATTCCTTGTGCAACACCACTACTTGCATGGGTTCTTGGTGCGTGGGCACTAGTCATCATGGGTCTTCCATTTCTGTCCTGTTTAAAAAGTTTCAGGATCCAATTAGAGGGGAGAAACAATACCATGTGACTTTCACCATCCATCACGCGCCAGGAGTAACCAATAGCAAAGAGCCTGGCCACGGACAACCACTGCCCATCGCGGTATTTGGCTGGTGGCCACAGATCGTAAATCCAGTTGCACAGATCTTTACTGGGTTGTGACTGCTTTGGAGCCAAGAAAGAAAAGCAAACTGAATGGGATAATTATTGCCCATCAGTAGTGCAGCTAGCTCGATGGCCCTCCATCTATGGCTCGGAACGTTACACGGTGAGTTCCCCAAACCTAGCTGCTGCCTCGCAGCACTCCCCACTGCACGTACAGTACCCGGCGCTTTGAGACTCACACAGCGGTGATGGTAGCCACAGTTTTGAGGCTTGCTGGGTTGCGGATCATTTTGTCTAAGGTGTTGACGATCTCTGTGAAGCGAGGGCGGGTGTTGCGGTCTTTCTGCCAGCAGTCCAGCATGAGCTGGTGAAGCGCAGCCGGGCAGTCCATCGGAGGGGGAAGACGGTAGTCTTGCTCAATGGCATTGATGACCTGCAGTGAGAAGGAGCATGGAACCAGCCGGGAAAGAGAGGAAACGAGCATAGAAGAGGCATCGCAGCTCCAAAATCAAACCCGACCCACGCCTCCGGCAAAGCAACAGCCGTCCCGGAAAAAATTCACCTTCCCCTTGGCCAAACCATTCACGCTCCAAGCAAGACTTCCTGATTCCCTGGCTCAGATTCACCACTGGGGTCAACGGCTGTTTGTCCACTGATGCAGCCGAAGTTTTACGTTGGGGATGATCTGACCTGATACCAGAGCAAAGAGCTCAGGGTTTGCAATGGGCTCTCCCTCTTGCGCACACCCCTTTGTGGCCGAGGGCGTGGGCCCACCAGCTCCTCTGCTCTGACGGGCTCTGGGAGAGGAAGGGTCCTAGGTGGCCTTTCTGGTCAGTCTCCTGGGACCAGGCTTCTTCTTACCCCCCTTTTTGTAGCTGCTGGGGAGTTGGGGGGGACCCCAGGCCCACCCACTCCTTTGGGTCCCAGCCCAAGGTCCCTGTAAGTAGCAGATGCCCGCTAAGTATCGCTGCGGTCCACTGCTCCCTGGGCCACCTCCCCAAGAAGCTGCTCCATCCATCCCCTCTCCCAGGGCTTTGAGGTCAAGTTCTCACCCCACCCTGTCCTGGGTAGTGCAGTTCATCAAGGTCTATCACAGCCGGTTTCAGCCACCAGACCTGGGCTTCAGCAAGGTCTGAAATCCAGCTCACACTCGGAGCTGGCTGAGGGGCCGCGCTCTTCCCAGTCAATTTGGCAGACGCTAGCCCAGCAGCTTCTTTTATACCAGCTTGCTGGACCCTGATAGGCTGCAGCAGAAGCACCCACTCTAGCCTGCCTGGAGGACCTCTCTTCTGCTCTTCTCTCTGGGGCAGGGTGCAGGAAGGCTTCCAGCAGGGGGCGCCAGGCCTAGTCCACCCTGTCACAGGGTTCAAAGATGGCCCCAACTGTCCATTACTGCCCTTGCTAGCACGAATGCTCTCATCTACGCACTACCAGAGATGTAGGCGAGTGTTCGCTTCCCCGCCACGGCACTCGCCTCTCTTCCTTGCCACTGGCAGCGGCGTGCTGCCCGTTAATGAGGCGGCCGGGGAAAAGGGGGTGCGCGCAAGGGCAGGGAGCCGAGACGGCGTCGCTGGCTCTTGCGACCGAGGCGCTCCGAGGTTAATTTGAGCTCTTGTGAATCAAGAGCATGGCAGTCCCTCTCTGTGGAGAGCGCCACACTCATTAGCTCTGCCGAGCGCACTGGAGTACAGTAGCTCCACTACCAAGTCTCTCTCCCTGGCTCACAAACCCTCTGAACATTTTCAAAGGCCTCCCGGCTTCCTGAAGGCCAATTACCAGCCCGCTGGTTTTCCTTCCCCATTTCCTATCTGAAAACCTTTCAGTCACCAGCCTTTTTCATCTTGAAAACCAGCACAGGCTGAGGGGCGGGGACTGGAGCAGGGGGCAAGCCAGCCCCTCGCCGGCAGCCTTTCAGCACTGCTCTCCGCGGCCATTTCTGGAGCACAACGGCAGCCACAAAGAAAGTCCTGCCGGGAGGGCAGGGGACTGGGCTTGCTGACCTCCCGAGGTCCCTTCCAGTCCTAGGGTTCTGGGAAAGCGACGTTCGGGGCCTGTGCAGCAAAGGGAGTGTCCCCTGTACTCGAGACTATGCGTCTCCACGTTGCCTCAGGCTCAGCGGGGCACACAGCCAGATGAAGGTGCCACCAGAAGGCCAGCGAGGGATGGACCCGGATTCCTCTTCCCAAATGTACAGGAGGGAATGAGAAATAAGCCTCCACCCCCCAATGGTCAGGCAGCGGAGAGAGAACAGCCTCCTACTCCCCAGCATCTGGCGCCCCCACACGGAAAGAGCTGGGGAGGAGAATGACATCAGGCCGGAGGCTCAGCACCAGCCAAGCTGAGTGACCCCGGGTAGTGTGAAATCTGAACCCAGAGGCCTCGGCCCGGGCTGGCCAGCAGCCATGGTAACAGTATTGGAGCGGCCTCCCCGGCCCTGACTTCCTTCTTTGCAATAACGAAATTCCACGGCAGGGCAGCCTTGGAGCCAGCACGTCATGGAGGCTCCTTTGGGCCTGGCCCCAGCCCTGTTCTTTCCCCGCTTCACCAGCCTCCTCTACCTGCACCTGGTAGGGGCGGGGAGGCTGCAGAGGGGCCAAAGGCCTGCGCTGAGAGCCACGGCCTGTTCTCTTCCCACCCTAGTGACTCTGGAATCCCTGGGGAAGCCGAAGCCTGTGATGTCAGAGGGGGTGGCTGCTGAACAGCTAGCATTTCAAAGGCGTTTGGACGCCCCCCGTTCGTGAGAACCCACCCCAGCGGAGGCCCTGGAAACCAAGAGACTCCTGGCTGTCTGTGGGCTATGGCTCTCCTATTCCCGCGGTGACTTCTGCTGGAAGAGTCGAGGAATGCAGCAGCTGTCACCATGCCTACGCCATGCTGCTGGGAAGGGACGGGTGGCGTGGGGAGCTGAAAAGCCACCCGTGGCTCTTCCCCATGGAGACCCACCCACGCAGACCCACCGGGCCCAGAACACTCACATCTTGGTTGGACATGTCCCAGTACGGCCTCTCGCCGAAGGACATCACTTCCCACATGACGATGCCGTAGCTCCAGACATCGCTGGCGGAGGTGAACTTGCGGTAGGCGATGGCCTCAGGCGCTGTCCACCGCACCGGGATCTTCCCACCCTGGAGGAGAGGGACAAGCAGGTCAGTTGTATGCCCTGGATTGCCTGAAAGCGTTCCGGGACGACCCCGACCTGCCGCCCGCCTGCTCCCTCAGTTTGCAAAGCATCTGTCCACAGCTCCAGGCGCCGCGCGCTAATGAACGGTACGCAGCTGACGCGGAGTCAAAACAGCCGCCACACAGACAAGTGGCCCCACCTCCATGTTGAGAATTCAACATGCTGCGCGCAAAACACATCAACCCAAATCACAACCCACGTCGCTGCCATTGGCCCTTCCCCCGCCCCAAGTCAAAATCCCCTGATGCCCGCCAAGCTTCGTTAGCAAATCCACCCAGCTGATTACGGCCTCCGCAGCCTGCAGCAGGGAACCCTCTCCACAGCAGAGCTGCTTTTCCCTCTCATCTTCGAGCAAGGAAGCCAGGGCGTGAGGGCCTCCACTTGCTGAAGCTGTGGATGCAGGGCACAGGCAGAGGGGCAGTTTTTGAACCTGCCTTGCCCCCAAACCACTTAGGACGTTCCAGGTCAAACCTAGTGCTTCTAACTGGGAGCCCAGCAGGCTGGGCAGAGGAGCTGTAGCGCGCTTGCGGCACAAACTCCTGCTGCGTAAGGACACAATGCCATCGTGCACCAACCAGCGAGCGGCCATACCGAAACCATGCCGCGGCCCCTCGAAAATCACCAATGTCACAGGGGAGACCAGGGTTCTGGGCCCGCGATACGGTCTTCATGGCCATGAATTTGGTGGGGCCCTACAGACATGACAACAACCGTTCATCGGAAAGCTAGAAAAGCGCTCGCATGAATCCAGAGAAGCTGCTGTGTCATCAACTGTTGGAATATGATCAACGGAAGTCAAACTCCGGTCCTGACGGAAGGAAGCACCTGCCCTATCTCCCTGCCCCACTCTGGGGCGGATCAAGCCACAAAGGGGCTGTGCCCTAGGCTGGTGTTTGCCGGGGGGACTGATGCCCACACAGACGGGATCGGCTCCTGCAGGATGGGCGCGCAGATCGCACCGCGGGCGTGTTGTCAGCTGGTTCCTGCAGCGAAAGGGTTAACCCTCTTTCTGCGCCCCTGCCCCAGGAATGCTCCAGGAGGTGCTCCCAGGAATGCTAATGAGCGCGCCCGCGAGTCTTTCAAAGGGCTCCGCGTTTCCCACCGAGGATCGGGAGGTGCTCTGCTCTCCCGGAGCCGGGAAGCAGACGTCAAAGGCTGGCAGCAACAGCTGCCTCCTTGCTCCTCCTTGCATGTAAAGTAGCACGCTCAGCCTTCCGAGCGCTACCCGGAGTGACACTTCCCCACCCCGGGCTGCTTTGCCTCCTGGAGCACGTACGCCTGCCTGTCTCAGGCCTCTTCCCGGGGGATGGTGGCAGGGAAGGGGTGAGGGAGGAGAGCAGATGCCCTTGGTGCTGAGATGACAGCTTGCCAGGAATAGCACTTGCCCCAGCCGAGGAGTAGCAGGTCTTTTCATCCCTCGGTTCTAAATTACAGCTGAGTGATTGGAGCGAAGCCGGCTGCATTTTGCTAACGGGCACACCACAGATTGAAATACCTGCCTCCGTGCCGCCATCTCCCCACGTGGCAAAGACAGGGGAAGGGATCACCCGCGCCTGGGATGCTCAACAGGCATCCAGTCCCCGGAGACAAGAACTGGCGAGTGACATCGGCAGCGCGTCCCCGGGAAAGCACGTTGCTGTCCCAGCCAGGACAGTGAGTTGAACTCTGCCGGCACAGCTTCCTTGTCTTTGTTCCTTGGCCTGGCAATTCAGGCCGGCCCTCCAGCTTCGGCGGGGGGATCAGCAAGAACAGGGGGACTCTCAAAGGAACAAAAGAGCTGGGTTTCGCAGACACGATCCTGAGCAGTAAGGAACGAGGAGAAGGAAGCCCTGGAACTGTGGGGCCTGACGCTCTGCTGCCTTCTATCGCGTGGAATCGTGGACCCCGGGGTAGGGGGGCAGAAAGGGCCACGGCATCCCCACGCCAGCGCTGTAGCCCCACTGGCACAAATAACCGAGCGCAACTGTGAGGCACTGGAGGCCGAGACCCACACTCCCAAATCCAGTGACCTGCGGGCTGAGGAGCAAGAGAGGTCGGAGCAGGGGGCAATCCTTTCCCAAAAAGTTACTCGCCCCTGGGAGAAGGCTCCCACAATGGCAGCGCTGTCTCAGCCCTCCTGCAACAGAGCATCCATACAGCCCCTGCAATGTAGAACGACCCCCCTTTCCATAGAGATTTACCATCTAGACCTGCAAGGCGCTATGCAACGGTCAGAGGCTAGAGATTTACCATCTAGACCTGCAAGGCGCTATGCAACGGTCACAAGTGTCTGTAGACCGGGGACTCTCTCCCCTTCAGTACATCTGAGTGACTCTGGGGACATCCAGTGAGTCTCTCACAGTCAAGCACTAGCGGGAAGCGACGCCCTAGTCCGATCATCCCTCCTCCTTGGAAATCAGTTCAACTACACAGTAAATGACCGGGACAGATCCAAGCTGCTCCCAGGAAGATCTCTCCCTTTTCCTGCTGCTGGTTCGAGCCCATGAGGCTGTGAGAACCCCCCCGGGAAAGGCCCTCCACTGTGCTGCTTAGATTCGCTCATTTTCTTGGGCAGCGAGGATTTAAAACCTTGGTGCTTATCGATCGGTGAAAACAGAATCTTCGTTTCTTAAACATTCATCTGCCCACGGAACGTTTTCCCCCAAACCCTCTGGTGCAAACTCCTTATTGGATGTTCCCCGGGGAGAATCCGCCCCATAACTCTGCGTGTGACATCATCACTCGTTGCCTGGACAAGGGTTACGATGTCACAGTCTGAGGGGGCTGGTTTCCGTGGGGAACAAGCCACAGAGGTCTACGAATCGCTGGAAGAAAAGCCAATCCCACTTCCACATTGGTGACTCCAGTAACCTCGAAACTAATGGGGGAGGGCGGGAAAACGCAGACTCCGTCTGGCATTTACTTTGGGCTGATTCATTTCTGAAACTGCCTTGTGCGGTTGTTCTCCGCGAAGCGTCGGGAGCTCTTGGTGGGCGGGCGGCAAAACCCGTGAGTGAAATAAGCCCAGTGTGAGAACGTGACTCCTGGCGTGTTTCCCCTGCCTCTTCCCCAGAGTGAGCCCCCTGCCGGGGGCGGCAGAGTAATGGAGCAGCAGGCAGGGCATCATTTCCTGGCAGCTGGGAAGGCCGAGTGTGGCATGAATTAAATACCAACGCAGATGAGAGACACTGTTTGCTCTCGAAAGGCGGGAAAGGCCACTTCAAGCCTTCCCCCAGTGGCGGGTGCTGGGCGCGTTATCTCAAGTGACCCTCGGATTGAATAGGCCACCGCTGCTGCTCCTCGCTGTGCAGCATTCCCGCTTGCGCCAAAAGCCGCAGGGTCAGACCCGAAGCCTCTATGAACCGACTGAGGAACTACCACCTCCCCAGCTCCCTCGGCTTCCTACGCGGGGTGAGTCTCTCTTCTTATCTGCTTCCCTCTGATCACACCCAAAAGATGTTCCCCTCTCGCCAGCGCACAAATTCCATCCCTCCCCAAGATGCCAAGGCAGGGCCAACCCTCCGGCCCGGAACAGCAGCAGCCCCTTCCCTCAGCAGGCCTTTCCTTGCGGCTCAGAAAGACTCGCTCTTGTGGCTAGATCTCTGTCACACGTCCGTATAATCATGTATCATTCCCATCTTTGTACTAAGAGATTTTATATATACAGATCTTGTTCTTTTAGATATATCTTTATGTTAAGCTTTCTTATAGAATCCTTGTATTAAGAGAAACCTTGTATCCAGTCTTTTCCATAGAAACTTTGTATCAAGCTCTTTATGTTATAGGCCGTAGGAATAGTTAAGGTAAAGAAAAAATGTCTTTTGAGATCTCTCCCCTTTCCTTGATTGCCCTGTTGAAATGAACGAGGTGTGAATGGAGACTGAAAGGGGAGCACCTCCAGCAGCAGTTGCAAGGGTGGAGGGGCTGGGAGCCAGATCCAAGACAATACCTGTGAAGTGAGCTCATTGAAAAGAAGACTGGACATACAGACGCCTTGGGAGTGGAGCAGCAAGTGCCTGCCCTTGGAAGAACTCTCTTTGAAGCAGTATTACAAAGGCGAGGTGATGACTAACTGGCTGCAGGAGAGGGATAAATAGGAGGCGTCTTGCAGAGGGACCTTCGGTTTTCGTCTCGTCAACATGGGAGCATCGATCCGGATCGGCAGAAGCCCGGCTCCACCCCTCCTACATGTAACCCACCTGGCCAATGCAGTTAGGGGGAGCAACTATTGGTAACAACAAGACGGAGTGTGCTTCTGTGTGTGTGTGTGAGAGAAAGAGTGCATGAGTGTCATGTATCATATGCATATGATAGTGTTGATTGAGCTACGTATGTTTAATACATGTGGCGTGTTGCCTTCTCCCCCTGAAAAAGATCCCAGGTGCTTCTTTTAAGCACAACGCTCTGTGCAAAGAGAGGGGAGTGTTTGCAGCACGGCCAGAAAGTGAACAAATCGGGCTCCGACGCATCTCGGGCTGACGTGGATTTCAGCACCAAGAGGCCTTCCTGCTAATCCCCCCGACCTCGACTCCCTCTGACAATCCAAGGGGCGCCACTGATCACAACTGCAGCCGCGGGAGAAAGCTGGGCTCTCTGAGAGCCGCCCCCCAAACCAACGCAGCCTTCAAAGGTCAAAACCACTGCACTGAATTCCACTACAGGCTCCCCCACCACAAGGCGGCTCCATTCTTAGGTTAGTTCCAGGCGGGGGCCCAGGCCTCTGACCCGAGCGCTTGGCTCAAGGCAAAGGAGGAATTGCCGCTGCCGAGCGCCAGGGTCACAGACGCAACTTGCCCGTGGATTTCCTTACTGGTCTGAACTCTCCTAAGGGTTGGGCCAAACCTCCAAGGTCACTGCTCAAGCCAACGCAGATTGAAGCTACTCTCATTCTTGACTTAAAATCTCTCTTGTCCATGGTCGTCACAGAGTGGATCTGCCCTACTCTGCTGCTGCCCAGCAATGCCCAACCCTTTTTTATCCTGCTGCCCAAAAAAATGTCACCTTCTAATTTGCCTCTCGGAGGCATGCCCGGGTGGGCAATAAAATGCATTTGCACAGAAATGTTTGGAAAATGCACTCTTTAAACTTATTGAATATTATTGACTTCGACTGCATAGATCAGGGGTGGGCAAAGCAAGTTTAGCCCCTGGCATGTCCCCATGGCTATATTTACCTGCACCTCCACAGGTACGGGCGATCGCAGCTCCCATTGGCCAGGATCTGCAGCCAATAGGAGCTGCAATCCCCAGGGTAGATATGGCTAACCCTGGCAGACCGGATCTGGCCTGCGGTATTTGCCTGCCCCCGCTTTATGATAGATATGACTTGTGTATGTAGTAGGCTGTGCCACGGATCAGTCCTTTATGAACCCTGCACAGGGCATTGATAAACTGAGCCGTAGCATAACATGTAATTTATTTACTTTGTTTGCGCTGAATAGAACCCTCTGCCCGCCGTTTCCGATGGGACCCGGTGCGGCGGCAGAACAATTCCAAAAGCCTGTTCTCGGGGGGAGCCGGGTTCTGTGATCTTCCCCGCGGCAGCGGAGCCAGGAGACAAGGAAGGCACATCGGAGAAGTGGGATTACGTACAAATGAGTTAATTAAGCTGGAGCTCAGTGACTGGGGAATAGTGGAGCTTGGATTAGATCTGTCTCTTTAATTAACGCCCGGAACAATTTCCAGCGGAGAGCGCGAGCTCAGGAGGAGAGCGGCACTGGAGCAGCACTTAAAACTCCTCCTGTATTTGCAACAATCTGTCTTCCCTCCGCTTCCCCTCCCGCAGCCCTTCCAGATCTTTGCTCTTCACCCCACCCAGCCCCACTCAATTCTGGCAAGAGAAATTCTCATTGGAACGCCAGCCAAGCGCACAGATAAACGTAGAGGGGGAGGGGACACACGAGAGAAAAGCAAAGGGAGGGGAAGAAAGAGAGAGAAGGGAAAGCTGGTGAAGAAAGGGGTGAGAGCGAGGGGAGGGAAGGGACAAAAGAGAAAGAAAATAATTGTCCTTCCAAGAGCAGGCAAGAAATAACCCGCCGGGGGCGCGGATGCTGTTTGAGAGGAAAACGGTGAGGAAGGGCCACGTTCATCAGTGTACTTGGCTGCCTAAAGATGCCGACGGGCGCCTACCTCACCTAGCATTTTGGAACATGCCTAACTGCATTTGTAGGCACCTAAATACCTTTGCACGTTAACCCCAGGAAGCGACTGCTGACGAACACTGAAAGCTCAATCCGGCCCGGCCTCAGCCCGAGCGCCGACGCTGTGTGGCAATGGTTGCACGGGCAGAGAAAGCAACAGAGGAAGAGTCACCAACGACTGACTCCCTGGCCACCTCCCTGGATACCCTCCCCACAGGACCCAGCGGTGATGAACTGCCCCAAGGCGGGGGAGGCCCGAGGGAGCACACGCAGCAGGGCAGATGGTACGTACCAAGGAGCTGGTGTAGGTGGGGTCTGAGGTATCATCTTGCAGGTAGCGGGAGAGGCCAAAGTCGGACACTTTGCACACCAAGTTACTGTTGACCAGGATGTTTCTGGCGGCCAGGTCCCGGTGCACATAGTTCATCTCCGCCAGGTACTTCATTCCCGCCGCGATGCCCCGCAGCATGCCCACCAGCTGGATGACCGTGAACTGCCCATCGTTTTGCTGCAGGCAGGGAGAGCAAGTGGCAGAATGAAAACGACCCAGCTACCGACAGGGTAGCCGAGAAGCCCCTTGTCCCGACACGCCTGGGCCTCTGGGCCGGTCCGTTCTCCTGGGGTGACTGTAAGCTGCTTGGGGCAGGGACTCTCTCTCCAGCCACAGGGCTGAGGCCTCCCAACTACAGTCATAGGAACAACCACCAAGCTCTCACTTCGCCACTGAACCAAACTGTAAATCCTGCATGTTTCACCACTTCAAGTCACCCCTAGTTCCAGCCCCACTGGCCCATGATGGGCCTCTCCTCCATACTTTTCCCTGGTTGTGTCTTGGCCTCCACAACATCCTCCGGCAAGGAGTTCCACAAGTTGACTGTGCGCTGCGTGGCCAAATGCTTCCTTTGGAACACTGTCAACGTCAAGGCGGGTGTCAGGAGGATCAGGTGGTTGCTGGAGGGTTTTTTTTTGGGGGGGGGGCAACTAATTTAGAAAAAAGTCATTTCTAAAGGCAGCGCCCACTGTGGGGCACCTTTCATTTTTCAGACCATTTTCTTTCTTTTTTTAGTGCCCTCCTCCCTCTGCCGCCCAATAAAAACACCTTCGCTTCTGGGCAACCCACACTGTGGAACAGGGGAAAGCAGAGGGGCCGTCCCATGGGCAGCGGCAAGAGAGACCATTCTGCATTGCGCCGTGGGGAGGACTCTCCACAGCGAGGCCAGCGTTCCCAGGAGAGGGGCGTCAGAGTCGGTCCCGTGGAAAAGGCGGCTCCCTTATTGGAGGGCACCTCCTCCCTGTCCCGTTCCAGGGCGTCTCTGGGTGCGACGGGAAGGGCGGGGAGCAATCTGCCAGCTCTGGGCCAGTCTGCCTCGGCGCCCTCGTGTATTTCCCTCCTCGGGGGGGCCCCCGCGCGGCGCCACGGACGACCCACTTCACTATCTTTCCAAGCAGCTGATGCGCCAATTAGCGGTGCTATTTTTACATCAGGACTGGAAGGAGACATATAAATTACCTGCTCTAGCGTCGGGAAGAAGGTGGCATTAGCAGGGTTTGGAGGCTGGGCCCATTAATCATTCCTCCTAGTCCCTTTAAAAATCTCAACCCCGCTGCTCACCCCTCCTTTCCTCTTCATCCATCTCTCTCCTGCCTCTGCTTCCCTTCCTCTTTTCTCCCCTCCCCTGCCTCCGGCACCCTCCTGCCCAGCGCGACAGGTGGGTATCGGACTCTGGGTCAGCTGGCCTCTCAGCTGCCTCCAGACCCCAAGACCCCCCCCCCCCCCACGATGCCCGTCCCAAGATGCAGCAGCTGCTTCCGCCAGGCGGTCCCAGAGCCGGTAACGAGACGAACCGTGTTCACGGGACAGCCCCGCCCGGAGTCACACCGCGGACCCCTGGCCACGGGCGCGCCACAGATGCTACAAGCTGGCGTTAACAAGACTGTGCCAGTGAGACGATCAGGCCGCCACACAGTGGCAGAACCTATGACATTTAGAGCACGTGTCCTGCTGTCTGTCACTGGGGGTTGGGCACTTTGCAGGGGTCGATTCCTGGGGGCCCAAGCACTCAGAGCCCTTCGGTGCAGCAAGGGTTTAGTGTTTTATGCAAAAACTGGGATGTCTTTTGTAGCAGCAGGCACAGCTACTCGCTGAGGCCTCTGGAGGGGATCTGCATCTGCGCCCAAGGGATTTAGGAGCACAGACCTCATTGAAAGACAACAGGATGCGTGCTCCGACTCCCTTAGGCTCCTTGGAGACCTCGCTCTCTGTCGCTATTGCTTCTGAAGCTGGGTTATCGGATTCCCCCCTGGTGACCCTGTACTCCAAGGGCCCAGCTGCCGGACGCCTGGCCTCCAGGGACCAGCTCCAAGCCAGCGAACATGACTCCCTTCCAGCGTCACGGCAGGAGAGCGGCCAGCGAGGCCAGGGCGGTTCTTACCCTCAGGAACGAGTCCAGAGCCCCGTTCTCCATGAACTCGGTGATGATCATGACCGGCCGGCTCTTGGTCACCACTCCTTCCAGCCGGATGATGTTGGGGTGGTCAAACTGGCCCATGATGCTGGCCTCGCTCAGGAAGTCCCGGCGCTGCTTCTCCGAGTAGCCAGCCTTTAGCGTCTTAATGGCCACGTAGATTTCCCGCTTGCTGGGCAGCTTCAAGCGGCCTTTGTACACTTCTCCAAACTCCCCTGGCCTGTCCCTGCCAATGCTGGCCCCAGGGTCCCGGCCGCTGGCCCCGGGGCTCCCCACTTGCCCCAGCTGTGGTCCCAGCCTGGGACAGCGAGGCGCATAGACAGGAGCAAAGGGGGTCACAGGAAACTTGGTCCCACCCACTGCAAACTGCCCTACGTGGATACAACCCTGCGCCCCCAGGCAGCTCCGCCAAGCAGGGTCCCCAGCTTTCTCCTGGCATGAAACCAAACCCCCTCGCCAAGGCCCTGCCCCCGCCTCCTCCCTCACTTTCACGGGGCTAGGGCAGGCACTTGGGATGGGGGGGAGGGCTCTTAGCTGGGGCCTGGGATGACGAGTTTGGGATGTGGGAGGGGCACAGGGTAGGGGCTGAGGGATTTGGAGTACAGGAGGGCGTGCGAGCTCTGGGAGGAGGCTTGCATGTGGGAGGGCCTCGGGGCTGGGGATGAGGGACTTGGGGGGTGGGGCGGGGGCAGGGTGGG